TAATAACACATAGGTAGAGACCCTCTTTCACCCAGTAATTAAGACATACAGAACAGGCAGGATCATTGTTCCGAATTCCAGTAAAATATTGAACAGCTAACCACCATGAAACATGGCAGAAACCACACAAAATGTAGCATCAATAAACAGGATAGTGGTTTCTGAAAAAGACAAATAAATAATTTTTAAAAATAGCTGTGATCTAAACTAATAAAAAAATATTTTAGATTAGGTTTCCACATTTTGATATTCAAATGAATTATAGAAATAATTTACCTGAAAAATGTCTGCAAAGTTGAAGTACAAAAGAACAAAGCTAGTTGATCCTCAAACTTTACAAGGCTTTTGTAGATGTTAGAAAATGAATTAGGTTGCAATAAAAAAACTGCGAGGATTAAAGTTTTTGCTGTAGCGACTCCTTTGTTCACTCTTTAAAATTTGTTTACACTTTCTGAAAGTAAGTACAGCCTTGACACCTTCAGTTGCGGATTTGATGACATTGTTGTAGATTTTACGCAAAGGTAGCTAAGTAGTTGAAGTCATGTATCGCATTTTCTCAAGAGCTGGAAGGTGATCAATATTTTGCGGCCTTCTTCCACAAGTGTGACCATGTATTGTCTCAAGTTAATTAGTTGACAAAACTATTTGTGCACTTCCGTCACAAAGTTGATGGTGTTTACACTTGAGATATACAAAACCATTGTTTTCTTTATTTTTGATGCAGCCAAAGTCCTATTCAACATACACAAATATTTTCCGTTTTTCACCTTCAATTTTTCTGTATTCCATTTTTCTATTTTAAATTTAAACAAAGTTTGATATATTTTCACTTGCATTCGTTAAACTTTTTATGTTTACATAAATTTTTGCAATAAATTAAATATATTATTTTCAAAAATAATAAAATTTTTGCAGGGTTATGTACATGTTAACCTTTAACACAAAAACCAGTATGAAAAAATTATGCCTTTCAACTGCAACAACTTCACACGTATTAAAATTACAATAGTAAAAAAATTCATTTCTAAGAAAATTTGATGCTTAAATAATTCGGCTGTGAAAAGTAATTAAGTTTTAAAATTACAGATTCGACTGTAAAAAAATTGATGCTAAATTAATGTGTGAAAGGTAATGGCTGTGAAAAGTAATTCAGTTTGTAGTTTTATTAAACTTTGAATGATATTCGATCATCTCATTCTATCTTCAATAAATTCGATTTTAGAAACTAAATCTTTTTCGATTCTAAGCAGTTTTTAGACAATTAGGTTTTTAAACATTTTCACAAATTCGGTATTGCTGTCGGACGTCAATCGATCTAATAATTATTCTAATAATTCGAACTGAACGACGAAAGTAAATATTTATAAAACGAGCTTTTCAATTCGAGCGAACAATAAAAAAATAAATGGAAAATAATCTTCAACAGTAACAATTTCAGTTTGTCGCTTTTATTGTCATATAAATGAATGTGGCATTTCCATTCAAGTATATAGTTCCATCATATATCGAATTTCAGGGTCTGTACCCATCGGTACAAGGCATGTACCCATCGGCATTGCCTAAAAATAGGTATCAATACACCTCTATTAAAAATATAATTTTTCTAGATTTCTTTAAATTTTTAAATAACATTGTCATAAAATATCCGGTACATATAATCCGGATAAAGTTAAAGTTTGTTAAAGTCATGGTTATTATTAAAATATTTTAAAAATATTATTATTAAAATATAAAATTATTAACATTAAAAATATACACAGCCGGATATCCGGCCAGATAGCTTATGCGAGACAACTCTACTTGGAATATGTATTTCATTACTATTTATAAATATCCGTAAAGTTTTAGTTTTAGAATGTATAAACATGATTTATTGATTAAAACAGTTGTCGAAGGATCAGTTGAATAACTCTGGAACATGAAGTGATAAAATCAATAAAACTATATAATTTTAAACTTTTTTTCTAACACTTCAATTAAATGCTTAATTCTAAATCGTTACTTTAGGCTTGCGCCTCTGTTAGTTGGTTAGGGTTTTGTTTTTCCGGATAAACAAGAATATATATATATATATATATATATATATATATATATATATATATATATATATATATATATATATATATACATATATATATATATATATATATATATATATATATATATATATATATATATATATATATATATATATATATATATATATATATATATATATATATATATATATATATATATATATATATATTTATATATTCATATTATTAACTTTTTTTTTTTAACATGTTAATGCATTTATATAGATATTTTAAAATTATTAAAAAATGTTATATATCTCAAAAAATAATTCACAATTACGCATTTAACATATAACCTTATAAACACATCCAACAGTTAAACATTAAACCGTAAACATGTTTTTTTATTATAAAAAACTAGTTTAAAATAAAATAACAATAAAAGCCATGAATTATAAGAAACTAATACTGTGTTGTTTTTTGGCAAGATACTTATTTTATTAAGAATTCAAAAAATACTTTTTAGTTTTTCATCTGCATATCATATTAATATAACACAAAATTAAAATAAACTAGTACCTACAATCATGCCCGTACCATGGGATAGGGTCGTAGCGTGCAATCGACCCCTTGATTTGATAAATTTTTACTGTTTCACGTAAGTTTTATTAAAATAAAACTTGCGTGAAAAATAAAAACTAATCAAAAATTTTATTTGCAATTCTAAACTGCCTTTTTAAAAAAAAAAATTCGCACGTAATTGAAAGAGGTTCCATTCGATTTCTCTTTTCTTTTATTCAATAAGTTGAAGTTTAAGAAAAAATTCTCAAGAAATAATAGAATCGAAACAATAAAATAGAAACCTTTATTAAGGGATTGTCCATAAAGTACGTTTGCTTGGATCTTTAGAAATAATAAAATAGAAACCTTTAGTAAGGGATTGTCCATAAAGTACGTACATTCAGATGAGGACAGTTGTCTGCAAATAGCGTATATAGTATTGGGGAAGCGGGAGGTGGGCAAATGGTCAATTATAAAAGTAAGGAGACACTAAATTATTAAAAATATCATGAAATGTAGGGTAGGCACGTTAAAAGCGTAGGTTCTCTTAAGGTGGTGGAGGGTACTCAAAAAAGCGTTTAGCAAAATGCGGGGAGAGGAAGGGGGAGATTAAAAAAAAAGTTTTCGTACTTTATGGACAACTCCTAACTTTAAAAACTTAAAAAAAGTTTAGAAAATTTCTAGTACTAGCCTGTTTGTTTAGATTCTTGTTTAAAAAAACACGTAAACCAAGGAAGTTTCATAAACAGGAGACGCCGTAGTATATACTTTATATAAAACGCGATGAAGCCAGTTTTGAATGTTAGCCGCCATCTTGGTTAACCCAAAACATTGTTATGTTTTTCGCGAAACTCTATACTTTTAGTAGAAAACTATGATGAAATCAAGTCAAAATATTTATATAAATGATTGAATATTTTGCCAGTTGTTTCCGAGGTTGTAATATAATACAAAGAAGATGCCATATTTTACACAGTGTGAACATCTTATGGAATAAAAAAAATTGTTTGTGAGTAATATAGTATATATACATTTGAAGTACTTTATTTTCTAGTATCGTAGTGAAGTACAGCTCTTTGATTTTCTAAATGTTATTAAAATAAACCGAAAAAGGCAATCAGCTAGCAAATAATTTTTTATAACATAGTAAAAGCTGACAAACATAAACTTATAAATAATTCATTCATTTGGTGCATTCTTTGAACTAGAATTTAATAAATTTTTTAGTTAACTCTTAAGTTCCGTGAAACGTTTTAAAATAACCAAGATGGCGGCCGTTTTAAAAGGTGGCTTTAAAAAAGTCACGTGACACTGTTTATTAAACCTCCTTGACGTAAACACATTTTCAATAATTAATAATAAAGAACTAAGGTAATCACAAACCACTTGACGTCTCGAAATAATAAATAGTAACATTTTCAATTACAGAATGAAATTTTTTTACTACAATTACAGGGTTTCCTTCTTCATTTCGACAACGTATCATTCGATTTCGACATTGTATCAGTATATTTTGACAATTTTTCATTCAATTTCGACACCGTTGCATTTGATTTCGACTGTTTTGCATTTAATTTCGACAACGCTACTAATACTTAAATTAATATACAAAGAAAGCAGTTAGATTCTTTCTAAATTCATTTAGATAATAGAATTTTTTATTTTGGATACAAACTAAAATCTAAACAAAATCGGTTATAAAGTATGGTTGTTAACCGGAGGATTTCGTGCAATTCCGGAAAAACAACATTCTTTCGTAAAGAGATTGAGAACACGGAATTACATTTTTTCGTACCGAATGTTATACCATGTTCACACTAGCGATGTTCGGCGGAACATTATTCCGGAACAAATGTTCCTGGAACAAAATGTTCCACAAAATGGTACTTGTAGCGTTCACATGTAAAATTTGCTTGACGGTACATAAAAGAAAAAACGAGTAAAAAAACGGTAGGTAAAACTCGAATAAAAATTAGTGACAAACAGTTTGGCAAATACACATTGTTAATATAATTTATTAATTTTTAATATTTAAACATTTATGAGAGGTAAAACTAAATACAAATAACGCTGAGGGTTTAGCTAGCTCAGAGTTAGACAATAGAAACCCAACCCAAAATACCCGCCATACAAAAGGTGACGTTGGAATTTTGTTCCCGTTTTTTGGCTTTTATGGATAGGTCATATCTCCTTTAGTCGCTTTTGACGACACAGAATAGTTGTCCATCAATGGTATAGTACCGAATAAACATATTATACATTAATATGTTACCCACGACCACTTAAAACTAATCTCATTTTGGGTTCATACATATTTAACATTTATTTATTTAGACACATTTGATAACCTCAAGGAAAGTAAGTAAATACATAACCATATTACAGCTAAAGCTTTAAATAATAAATAATATTATTACTACTTTACTTGTCCCTTTCATAAAGGTATTTAGCAATTGAGTCACGAACATTTTTTCCTGGTCCATTGTTCCCAGTTGTAGAAACTGTATTGGGTTGAGCTAGACTGTCATCATGATGATGCATAAGCCATTCTATTATAATAATATCGTCATAATATTCTCAAATGTTGTGAAGAGTGACGCAAGCATTTACAATTCTTGTAGCAAAGTTAATATCGCATTCCAGACGTTTGCAAATTACACGGAATCGAGCTTTAACGCGCCCAAAAGCATTCTCAACTACTCTTCTAGCTCCGCAAAGTATTTTATTGATATTTTTTTGAATTTCACTAAGCTCCAAATTTTCAGGATAAGGTTTTAACAAATGACGCGTTAAAGGAAATGCTGAATCACCTATCAAACATAGCGGAACAAGAGAATTGCCCAGCTCTTTACAACATTTATCAAATAGACTTGATTCTAAAATTGCTTTCAAAGAAGAATTCTGCAAAATATAGGTGTCATTATTTCTACCAGGCGATCCAACACTTGTATAAATGAAACGGTATCGACAGTCTACAACGGAAAAAAGTACAATGAAATACCACCCTTTATAATTATAATAAGAAATTGCTTGGGGGCTAAAATAGAGATGTGGCATCCATTAGATCCAGAAGGGGCTAAAATAGAGATGTGGCATCCATCAACAGCTCCAACGCATTGTGGAAAACCAAGAATAGCTTCGAAATCTCTACTATGTTTATTTAAATTTTCCACTGACAATGGAAATTTAGCATATTTAGGGAGCAAAATGTCATTAACAGCATTAATAAATTCATGAACAATTAAATTTGTTGTTGACTTTCCTATGCCAAAAAGGCTAGACACAACACGATACTCTTCACGTGAAGCTAGATAATGTAATGCAACTGCAACACGTTTTACTACTGAAATAGGTTCTCGCATAGTTGTGGTACTTTTGCCTAAATGTTGATGCAATTCATTAACTAGGAAATTAAATGTGTTACGATTTACTCGAAAATGCTCTTTAAATTCACATTTATTTTTTTTTATTTTATTTGCATTCACTCCCAACAAGGCTGCAAGCAACCACTATTAAGTTGGGAGTTACTAGGAGAAAAAAAAGAACAGAGTTATAGAGCAAGGAAACGGTTGACAGAAGACTTGAAAAGTTGAAGGTTGTACGAGTCAGGAAAACATGAAGATGGGAGAGAGTTCCAAAGGATTGAAGTGCGGGGAAAAAAACTAGATGAATAAAAGTTTTTAGAGCATGCAGGGACAGATACATTAAACGAATGAGACTTAGCTGAATGACGAGTAAAACGAGAATGAATTTTAGTTGATGGAACTAGAGATGATAACTTCTTTGAGCAGTGACCATGACAGTATCTGTAGAAAAGAGAAAGAGATGCAACTTTACGACGATGGGAAAGAGGTTCAAGCTTAGCAGATAGTCCAGGTCCAACAACATTTACAATGCGTTTTTGGACCTTGTCAAGAAGAGAAAGTGAATCGTTAGAAGAACCAGCCCAAATATGACAACAGTATTCCATACAGGGACGAATAAGAGATTTGTAGAGGTAGAGAATGGAATCAGAAGTAAGGAAATGGCGAGCACGATAAAGAGAAGCAACCTTAGCAGAAGCTAATTTAGCAATTGATTGTATATATGGTTTCCATGAAAGGTCAGTAGTAGGCGATAATCCAAGAAGACGTAAAGAGGAGGACTCAGTAAGAGGATTGCCATTCATTAATATAGGAATGTTGACCATATTACGGTAGTTGTTTGCAGTAAGCAATTGGGTTTTTTTAGAGTTGAAATTTACAAGCCACTGTGAACCCCAATCTATTACTGAAGTGAGATCAGATTCAAGATCAGCTGCTTGTTCTAGGCGATCAAAAAGACGAGACTTTTTGTCAAGACAGGAGTATAAAGTTGAGTCATCAGCAAAAAGAGCTACTTTAGATGAAAGGTTGTCAGGAAGATCGTTTATGTAGATAAGAAACAAAACAGGGCCCAGGATGGAAACTTGGGGAACCCCAGAAGTTACTGGAAATAAAGAAGAGTGTTGGCCTTCAAGGATGACTTTAATACACCGGTTAGAAATAAATGATTTGATAATCTCAAAAACTTTCCTAGAAACACCATATGAAGCAAGCTTATGGAGAAGACCAGCATGCCAAACTTTTTCGAAAGCTTTAGATATGTCGAAAGCAATAGCCCTAGCCTCACCGCCTCCATCTAATGTACGATAAAATCTTTCAGTTACAGCAAATAGCAAGTCGGCCGTAGAGCGAGAGGATCGAAAACCGTATTGATTGTCTGACAGCAGTTTATTTGACTCAAGATGAGATGTGAGGAATTTATTGATCAAAGACTCAAAGACCTTGCTAATAACAGAAAGAAGACTGATCGGACGATAATTGGAGGGGTCAGAATTTTCTCCAGAGTTTTTGAATATTGGAACCACAGATGCCATTTTCCAACAAGAAGGAAAACAAGACTCAGTCAAACACTTGTTAAATAGTTTGGAGAGAATTGAAGAAAGTTCTGGAGAACAATTCTGCAAGACTGTGACAGGAATGTTGTCTGGACCACAAGCTGTAGACGAATTTAATTGAGATATGACTTTAGGAACAGAAGCCGGAGTGATTTGAATGTCTAACAATGGGTCAACCTGTTTGACTGGAATGGAAGGAAGAGAATGTCCATAAGATTCAAGAGTGGAATTAGAAGAAAAGTTCTTTGCAAACAGTTCTGCCTTATCCCTGGGAGAGGTAACAAGATCAGTCCCATGAATAAGAGATGGAATGTTAGATCTACCCTTGTTAACAATGCTGTTGAAGATTTTCCAAAATTCTTTAGAGCCTAACTTCTGCGATAAGATGCGAGATTTAGTGAACTGAGAATAATGGAGTTTAGCATCAGAAAGCACCTTTTTACATCGATTTCTTGGAATAATAAATAGCCGTTTGTTCTCAAGAGAGTTGTTCTTTTGAAAAAGATGAAAAAAATGATTACGATTGGATATAGCAGCCGCACAAGAAGGAGAAAACCATGGAGTAGAATGAGGCTTGACTTGAAACCGACGAGAAGGAATAAAAGCTTCCATTCCAGCCTGAATCCAGGAGGTTACGTAGGAGGCGCATTTGTCAGCTGAGAGAGAAAAAACATCATCCCAAGGACCATCACGAAGAAAATCACGAAAGGAATCCCAGTCAGCTTTAGGGTAGTAGTAGGTGGTGCGATGATAAGGTGAGCCCAAAAAAGAAGTACGAGAAGAAAGATTTATAGAGATCATTGCATGATCAGAACCACCTAAGGGAGAAAAGGGAGAAACTGAACGTAAGCTAGGGTCAGAGACAAGACATAAGTCAAGGAGTGAAGGTAAATGATTAGGGTTGTCAGGAAAACGAGTCAAAGGCTTTAGTGCCAGCAGGATCAGTGGTGTTAGAGCCAAGCCATTCAGTGTGATGGGCATTAAAATCACCAACAACAACAATATTGGCAGAGGGGTAAAGAGAGAGGGCATGGTCAATTTGATCAGAGATAACATCTAAGAGAGTGCAATCATGGGAAGAAGGAGAACGATAAAGAACAAAGAGAAAGGTGATAGAGTGAAGAGGTGCTAGGCGAAAGCACATAAAAGAATGGTCAAAGGATTCGAACCTGATTTCACGACAAATAGGGGAATTAATGTGTATGTATACCCCTAAACCTAGCATGTGACTATTGGAGTCTTTACGAATCAAAGGATAGTATCCATCAACACTGACATCTGAAGAAGGAATTGCAGAACTTAAATTTGTTTCACTGAGTGCAAGCAAGTCTGGTGAATTTTGCAGGAGGTAAGACTCAACTGATGGAAAGTTGCTTCGTAGACCGCGAATATTTGTAAAAGATATATTAAAATATTTAAGTGGTGGGGATGGTTTTTTAGGTTTTAAATTTTTGTTTCTTTGGTCATGATTTGGGTTTAATGAGAACTTGACTCATTCATAGATAGAGCACAGCCTCCTAATCAATGAGCTATGCAGATGTCTCAGTCCTGTTAATTAACCCTAAGCCGTGACATAGGGCTCCTTATGTGGCCTTGACAATGCACACCAAAAGCATTAACAGAGACACCATCCATGCGCAACATGGCACTGTTAATACTCTGATATTTTGCAGCTGTTGATGGAATCAGCCTTTCTGAGAGCTACCACAGAGTTCGGGAAACTTTACTACCAGCCGGCCTCAGAACCATTAAACTGAGTTTTAGAGCTGTACCCTTATATGGAAATAACAGGAAGAGTTGCATAGCCATTATCAAGGAGGCATAAGCAAAATTCTATGAGTAGAGTCAAGGAGGTCCAGCATTTATCATCCTAGGCAGGAAACAATGTAACACAGGTTACATCTACGCCAGCCTATTAGATGAAGAAGGGGTTCGAGGCTGGTTAGCAGAATTTTTCTGCTTACCCCTAAAGTCTTTGCCTAGGAGGCCTTCTACAAGACAGTAGCTGGATGCAGTTAACATCTGCCCAAGATGAGTGTTTTTATCGAGACACCATCTCTAGCCTTTACTCAACCAAGAGCCCCAAGGTAGGGGAATTTTTAGTCGGAGTTTATTTTTCCTAGCCTTTGCATAAGAAGAGCACACTCAGCAAGGCAGCAGGGCTTGTGGCAGGTGGTACTTGGTTACGTGATACCAGTAGCAAGATTGATCTCGATTATCCTGACCTGACCTGGAGTAGTTAAAAGGAGTTACTTCCCGCAACAGTACTTTGAGAAAACCAGGCATGATATTTTGGAAGTGCATTAGGAAAAACACTGCATCTAACAAAATACAGGAGTCTAAGGTGAGTGTACGTTTTGTAGTTGGAGTAAATAGTTAGTTACTGAGCTCACGCTGCATTAGAGTATAAACAGAACACAAACAAACATAAATCAACTTACGGGTGAGTCAACACCGCGCCAGAGGTTCAGACAGAACACAAACATACATAAAAAACATAAAGTAACTTACGAGTGAGCGAACACCGCGCCAGAGGTTCAGACAGAACACAAACATACATATAACGTAGATTACAGGTGAGCTAATACAGTAACTAAGGCACCTCCAACTATATGGGAAAAAAAAAATTACTATAGGCATGACTGATATAAGATAGTACTGATGACAGAAAGAACACTCCTTCCAGCCTTTGCTTAGATAGCAAATCCTGCAAGGCAGCAGAACATGGAACAGGTTGCACTGGGTTACATGTTACCAGTAGCAGGATGATCATGAAGACCATACTCCTGACCTGACACATTCTGACATTCCTCCATTTGATTAAAAATCTCATTAAACCATTGAGAACTTTTCGGCCGAACCCAAACTTTTCTTTCAATCAGATACCCTTGTCGATTTAACCTAAAGGAAGCTAAATCTAAATATGAAAATGGGTGATTGATTCATCATTGATTAATGTTCTACTTCTTGATCAAAGTACGGCAAAAACCCTTTCCATGTTTTTCCAATAGCTTTTTCCTTTACAGATGTCTCCCTAAAAAGCTATTAAAACTATATAAATATATTAAATAAATATAATACTTATTATATTACAATTCAAGGGAAATTAAAACACATTTTTTAAAACCATTTTGTTAGAATTGATACAGCATGATCTGTTAACAAAAACAAAAATGAAACATGTAATGCAATTTGTATAAATTAAAAACAAAACACTTTGGCAAAAAACATATCACTATGATTTATCTACAGGCTTGCTTCATATCGCAAAAAAAAATTATTTGGTAAAAATACTAAATATATATAGCATAGAGATACAAAAAAAGGTATTTATAAAATACATTACATATTTAAAAAATACCACCAGATATGCATTGTAATGCTTGAAATCACAAAATATTTTTATTTTACATAAAGTAAAAATTCCTTTGATAATAGTAATATGGTAACATGAAAAATATATATATAAATAGAGCTTCATCTACAAGCTTGTACAATATTTCACTAACCATCTCTTTAGTTAAAGCATTAAAAAACCTTATGAAATATATATTGCATAAAATTGTAAACAAGGTATACTGTTGAAAAAATACTGACCTTTCAACTTTAACATAATTACTAAATAGATATCTTGACTAATAGAACACCTTATTTTTTTATTAAAAATTTATAATATTCTACTTGGGCTTTAGACACATCTCCTTGGGCTTTCGATGCATTTTCAATTGCATCGCAAATACGCTCTAAAGCAACAACCTCTCTGGTTTGTAGTTCTTGTGAACGGATTTGAACATCTAGATTTTTATTTGCTATTTTCAAATATTCAGAAGAAAAATTTGTTTTTTTATTTTTTCTCACTGGTTCAGTTTTTGCTATTTTATTCAAAGTTTTTTTATCATCAGAGTTCCTTCGTTTATTGCAGCTGGATGTAGATTGAGTTAGTTCCTCATCAGGAATAGTGACAATTGATTGCACATCACTTGTATCATCCAAAGCTTCAATATTTAAAATACTGACAGTCTCCTTGCTATCTTCCATTGTGGCAATCTGTAAATAAAATATACACATTAAAAAAATTACACATTTGAGAAATGATTATAAATCATGTTTCAATCAAAATTTATCTCTTGACTTTGAAAGGCTTGACTTTCAAAAGGGATCTATTTAGACAATAGTATTTTACAAATTGATCTAGCCAATATTAAAAAATCCCTTTTATAATTCAAAAACTTTATATTATATGTTTTTGATCTTTATGTTTTAAGTCTGCCAAATGTTGCAAAACTAAGAACCTCTTAAACCTTATTTTGTAGAAATAGTTAACATGCTTGTTTATATTACTTTAAAAAATATATAGCACTTTAAAATATACAACAATACTAAACTTACCTGACCATCTTGAAAATCTTGAGTAGAAAAGTTTTGACTTTTAGATAAAAGGCTATTGTCAAGGGCAGCTTCACCACCTATTATTTTGGCAACAATATCGTAAGGCCACCATTTACTAGGAGCTCCTCCCGATGAACCAACTTGAAGTTTTTCTCGTCTATGAAAAATATACATAAATATAAGTAAATATAAGCACATCATTAACACCATATAAGATTAATCAAATAATTTTAAATGGACAAATTATTATTAACGAAATAATTATTAACAAAATTAACGAATTATTAACAAATAATAAAATAACGAATTATTAACAAAATAATTATTAACGAGCTGTAAATCTTCAATACTGAATAAGATTTAAGTAATTTTTAATATAACACTCAGTTACAAACTAAATTGCAATTAGATATTATTACACATAGTTAGTTTTGTAAAATACTTTTAGTATTTCAGTAAGGTATCAAACATTAAATGTAGAATATGTCCATACCTAAATTGCTTCCTCAAATTACTAATTTTAGATTGAATTTGATATCCAGTTAACGGAGGTACGATATTAAATGTGTTTGAAAATTCAGCTGCCATTTGTTTGTAAATATTTGTGTTTCTTCTTGCAGATGTTAATGCTTTGTAATTATCTTTCCATAAATCTAATAATACTCTTGTGTTAGCCATATTTCAAAAAAAGGATAAGTACATTGAATCTTGCAACAATAACAACAACAACAACAAAAAGAAGAGAAATAGTTAATAATAAAATTAAAGGTTAAACTTCATAATTGCTATAAATGTTATGGGCTTAAAATAACTTAATAATATTATAGGCTTAGTAAATAATTTAATAAATTGCCAAAAACTGGTAGCCAAGAGAACAGAAACTTTCAGATGCTACTTTTACTTTTTTTTACTTTTCCATGCAATTTGATAATTATGTTATTTAATAACATTGATCTTTCAACACTATTATTTATTTTTATTTTTAAATGTCAATAATTGTAGTACATTGTGGCAAAGATATAAGGTACAGTCATATCAATACAGTCAATCAATAATATATATTCTGAATAAAGGTGTTACTTTCACAATTATTCACAAACAGTAAATTAACTAATATTAAGTAAATACAAAATATTCATGAGGAAAATACTAATGATAATGTTCACAAATTAAAATAACAAGACAAAGCTAATATAATAAAATATATATGACTTTTAAATAAAATATATGACAAAGCTCATATATAACAATATATACCAATAATAATATCATTAATAATATTAATATAAATAATAATAACAATGATGATAATAATGATAATAATATTAACAATCGTTATTGTTATTATTACTATTATTATTCTATTATTATAATTATTATAATAATAATAATAATAATAATTATTATTATTATTATTTTTATTATTATCACTGTTGGCAAGGCCAATGATAAACAACTCTGCTTATTAGTTCAAAGTTGAATTTTATAAATAAAATTACTATAAGTTTATTAAAAACGCATTAATAGCAATGCTTGCAAGAATATAATTAAATAAAAACTATTAAACAATGAAAATTAAACTTTCTTAACGCAAGTTAAATGTTACCTTGAATTATACTTCTTGTTAATTCAAATTAAAACTGATCTTAATAAGAATAATACTGTCTTTGTAATGTTATATTTTAAGATTAAGTTTTTAAACACACATATATTATATATGTGTGTTAAATATGTATTATATAACTTCTTTTTAAATTAATAATACACTAATAATTAAACTTCTATTCTATTTATACAATTTTTGAATATCGTTAAAAATATTTTGAAATTTTTGATGGTCAAATAATTTTTTTTAAATAATTGCCCACCATTTGGTCTACTCATGATTGATTCCACACGAGTGGGATCGGAATTTCCTTGGTTGCATGAAATTATCACAAGTTTTTACTCAATGAATAAAGATATGAAAATATATTCGAAGAAATGTTTTGAATTCAATAAAAAAAGATGGAAGGCAAAAACTAAAAGTTTCAAGGCAACATGTTGAAAGGCAAATAGTATATCAATAATCTTGTCTTGATATATAACCAAGACCTAGGACAATGCAGAGATCAAGGACTAAAAACTCAGGTTAAGATGACAACAACTTTGTAAAAAAAACAGTTTGAGTTACTTTCACAACAAATTTGCATCTTGCAATGCATTTTTTATTGAGTCATTTAGCTTATATGCATACGCTTATTTTAAAAATAGTTGAAAATAGGCACCATTTTTTATACAAAACTAAATAAATGTTCCAGAACATTTATTTGTTCTGGGTTGGCGGGACGGTACAAAAGTTCCTCAAATGTTCCTTGAATTTTTGTTCCATTTGCGTTCACACGAGAGGATATTTCTTCATGTTCCATGTTCCACGGAATTTTCCATCAAATGTACCCTCGTGTGAACAGCCTATTACAAAACATTTAAAATCGCCGATGTTCATTTCGCAAAAGCCACTTCCGAAATTTAGCATTTCGCAAGTTGACATACGAAACAAAACTATTTTGCAACATACGAAAGTAGCGGTTTCGGAAGTCGCACTTGCGAAACAAACATTTTCGCCAAACGACGTTTTGAAGTCTATAAAGAAAATTTGTTTGCCAGACTGATTTTAATTGTAAAAATGAACATCTTTAAATCCTAAAATGTTTATAATGAATTTTTATTTTCAGTATAATAACTATTACATTTTTATGGTTTTATTTTTAGAAATATTGATAAAAAATAAAATTTCTTTCGAAACGAAAGTATTTCGGATCACAACATATGAAAGAATTCTTAACGGAAATAAACTTACGAAACGTGCCATAATAAATATATACAACGATGTTTTTTGAACTCATTACCTATATTAAAAATAAGAATGATGGGTAGGAATATACATATATTTTTTTAAAGCATATGAAATTTTTGAAACAGGTTCGAATATGCTTAAGCAAATAGTAAAAAGAGGCTCAAAAATATGCTTTAGCTTAAGCATATTTCTGATAAAATATACCTATTTCAATAATTTCTAAAAGTGTGCACGTTACTAAAGTTCTAGCAGATTTTAAAGGTATGTAGAGTCCTGTTTGAATACGCTTTTCGAAGTATAGATCTTAGAAAATATTGTTTTTTAATTTTAATAAGATATAAATTTGAGTATAAGATTGTATAGTTCAATCAGTTAGATACGTGATAATTCGCCGCAGAGATCCGGGTTCGCATCCCGCAGCCATTGTAACTTTTGTTCATCAAACTCTTTTTACTTAAGATAGCATTTTTTGTCTTCCATGTTCTATATTACAGATCTTTCGTCACCTTCACAATAGTGACAACTTCTCTTCTGTTAGTTATTCTTTTAAGATTGAGTTCATTGTGCTTAATTCAACACGTTTCCCTTGCTTTACTAAGTTCTACTTAAATTATGATGAAATGTACGTAAAACAACTTTTTCAAATAATATAAATCATTTTGATTTAAATCTTTTGCTTTTTGTACTAGACATCCGTCCTAAATACTTTGTAATAATTTCTAGCTAACTCTGAGTCTAATATAAACATTTCTGAATATAATTTCCCTGAGGCTCCTACAGCCTATTGTGTTCCATTAAAAGTAACTAGTTTTTGAGTCCAGATATTAATTATAAGCATCTAATTGTTCACATTACTATTCATTTTCCTGATATATAAAACCCTATTTGCATACGTATCTCTTTCTGTAAATTCTGTTTTATATAGTTTCTTAATTATATATTAAATAAATATTACTATTCACTTAGTTGAATGAACGTATAGCTCATTCAGTTAAGACATTTGGCCGCGTAGACCCAGGTTCACATCCCGCTGTTTCACATATATTTTTTCTCTTTTTACTCTTTCTGATATCATTTACCTTTAGAGAGATCTCTCGTTCTTTATAATAAAGTAATTAATTGTTTATCACACATCCTCTTTATACTTTTTAAAAAGAAAGGCATACTGTTTATCTGTTCATTGAGAGTCTAACTTAACAGGATTTTACTGTATATATATGTATATATATACATATATATATATATATATATATATATATATATATATATATATATATATATATATATATATATATATATATATATATACATACATATATATGCAGTAAAATCTATATATATGTATATATATATATATATATATATATATATATATATATATATATATATATATATATATATATATATATATATATATATATATATATATATATATATATATATATATATATATATATATATATATATATATATATATATATATTAGGTATATTTAATAAACATTTAAAGAATCAGTTGACAACATTTTTTTATAATTTTATTACTTATTATTTAAACTATTAACAGTTAATATCTTAAATATATCGTAACATAAAATCTTTTGCGTCTTTTTCGTAACTACACATTCCGGAATGCTTTTTCCGTAAGGAACTATTTCGTAAGTATTCTTACGAAATGATTTGTTTCGCAAGTTTTCTTTCGCAATGCTTTATTACGGAATTTTATTTACTATTTATATTTTCGTATAGCGCGTTACGGAATGTGCATTTTTGCATGTGCAACTTCCGCAATAACAATTCTATTACGGTAGATAAAGATGCGAAATTTTCGCATGTTTTGTTTTTCGGCGAACAACCCTATTATAAAGTATTGTAATTACAAATACTCGCTAATAAAAATAAAAATTACAAAAGTAAGTTTATTCTTCAATAACTGGTTCTCTTCTTGAACACAGAATCATATACTTCAGTACGTACGCAAAATAATTTTTACAGTTTGTGCTAGTAATATTCAATGTACCGTTTTGCAAATTTTCAGGCAGTTCCTCCTCAGTTCTAGACGAACATCTTCTGATGAACTGTCTTCATTCAGAAATTATATTTTCAATATGGTTTAAAATAGAGGGAATATGGAGATAAAGATATCAAAGAATGCCCAGCACGTGCTATTTCATTATGAACGACAGCAGCTTTATGAAAACGAGCATTATCTA